TCACGTGCGAACTACGTACCGCGAGGGGGGATAGTTATCTGGCTTCGGGAGGGGGTGCAATGTATTATTCTTTTCAGAAAGGAGAATCGGCGCGGTGCAATCTAGGCGGGGCAATCTATGTGGTACAGTTTATGTGGTGCCATCTACGCGGCGCAACCTATGTGGTGCAATTGACTACCCTGCACCGCGCTTGACCACTCCACTGCTCGCGCAAACATCCCACCCACCCACCCGCAACTTGGTTCGCAAAATCTCTTAAGACCGTGACGGTGGGTACCAGATGGCACTTGCCAACGACAGCGACGCCGACGACGACAGCGACAACGACGACGACGACGCCGCCGACAACGACTACGACCACACCGGCGACGTCTCCAACGACTTCGACGACGCCGACAACGACGACGACAACGACGACGACGACGACGACGACGACACCGACGACGACGCCGACGACGACGACGACGATGCCAACGACGACGACGACGATGACGACGCCGACGACGACGACGACGACGCCGACGACGACGACGACGTCAACGACGCCGACGCTGACGACGACGACGACGACGACGACGACGACGGCGGCGACGACGACGACGCCGACAACGACGACGAAGACGACGACGACGCCGACGCAGACGACGACGACGAAGACGACGACGACGTCGCAAACGAAGACGACGACGAGGGAGGAGGGAGGACGACGACGGCGACAACGGCGACAATGACGACAACGACGAGGGAGGACGGAGGACGGCGACGACGCGAACGACGAAGAAGGAGGAAGGACGGCGACGCCGACGACGGCAACGACGAGGGAGGAGGGAAGACGACGACGACAACGACGACGACGACGACGACGGCGACGAAATAGGAGGGACGACGACGAGACGCCGACGACGGACGACGACGACGACGACGAGGGAGGAGGAGGAAGGACGACCACGGCGACAACGACGACGGAAACGACCACGACGCCAAAGAGGACGACGACGACGAACACGAGGAAAGACAGAGGACGACGTAGGCGACGACGACGACGACAACGACGCGGGAGGAGGGATGACGGCGACGACGACGACGACGACGACGCAAGAGCGCGCGCGCACGCTTTTGTTGAAAATCCGTGTTGCGAAACCTTGGGTTTTTGTAGGTTTTTTGGACGCACGATTCCGAAACCCTTCCGCAACCTATGGGTTTTGAAGGATTTCGGCGTACGCGCGCGACCACGCGCGCGTCTGCACTTCGTCCCATTTATTGCAGAGGATTCTCGCGACGGCACACGCGCAAGGGCGTTCGACAGATTTCGACATGCGCGCGCGAAGCCCGGTTGGTAGCATTTCTGTGAAAATCGTGAAAAACCTATGATTTTCTCAAGATTTCGCAAGAGCTCGCGCGGAAGCTTTATTAGCAAATCAGTGTTGCGAAACCATGTGTTTTTCTATGTGTTTTTGGAAGCTCGATTGCGAAATGCTTCCGGCGCCGAGGGTTTTTGAAGGATTTCGGCATGCGCGCGCGACGACGCGCGCGTGTGCACTTCGTCTCGTTTTTTGCCAGGGATTCGTGAACAAGTGTTATGTTAGAGCAACACATGTCACCGCATAGTGTTTTTTACAAGGGACCCTCAGGGGGGGGAAACCGGCCTGCCTGGGATGGTATGATTTCATATTTAGGATGGACGAGTGTGCAGTATATATATATATATATATATATATAAATGAAATTATACTATCCCAGGGGGAGTTGATAAGTCCGGGGGGGGGGGTAGAGTCTATTTTCTTTTTAGAGAGGAGACTTGGTTTTTTTTTACAAACGGGTTGACAAGTTCTAGGTTCTTGCAAAAATCTGACCCACCCACTCTCAATTTGGTTTGCAAAACCCTTGCGGCGGCGATTGCGATGAGCGCTTGGAGTTGGCTGAGGCATCTCTGCGGCCGCTGTAGCCCGCGCATGCTCGCTCGCGCAGCGGCCAGCTAGTTTGGCGCGACCGACGCGGCCGCGCTTGCGCTGACCCCTGGGCACTTCCCAGCGGGCACTTCAGTGCGAGTCGACGACTTGGGTGAGCGCGGTATCATGGCAACGTGGCAGCGGTAAACGCGATGATGATGGTAGCGATGCTGGTGGCGATGGTGACAACGACGACTGCAATGCCAGTGACGGCGCCGATGCTGATCACGCCGACGACGATGACGGCGCCTTCGCGTCGGTGATGCAGGTTTTGGATTGAATTCGACATGCGCGCGCGGCCGACGCGCGAATGGCCCGCATGATATGATTTGACACGGATTGTGCCCCCCCCAAAGCCCGCGCGCAAATTGTTCGAATGATTTCGACATACGGCGCATGTGGCCCCTACGCTTCTCGAGAGGGTTCGCAAGAGCGCGAGCGCAGGCATTTTTGACAACTGATGCTGCACAGCCATGTGTTTTTTTACATGATTCCGGGGCATTCGATTTTGAAATCCTTGCTGATGGATTTTGTCGTGCGCGCGCGACGACGCGCGCGCGCGTGCACTTCGTCTCGTTTGTTGCAAAGGATTTGTGCGACAGCACACACGCCAAGGCGTTCGAGCGATTCCGACATGCGCGCGCGAGAGGCGCGCCTGGTTACAAGTTATGAAACGACAAACGGATGTTTGTGTCAAGAATTTGCCAGAGCTCGAGCGTAAGTTTGTTTGAGAATTCGTCGTGCGAAACCATGTGTGTTTCATTTGTTTTCGGGACTCTCGATTTTAGAAATTCTTATGCGATTCAAGGTTTTTGAAGGATTTCGGTATGCGCGCGCGACGACGCGCGCGTGCGCGCTTCGTCCCATGTTTTGCAAGGGGTGGCTGAACATTTGTAATTCTGGATAAACGAGTGCGCGCTCAGTTTTTGTTTGCATCGAATGAATGGGATGTTATGAGTTAGTTGCATGCTTGGGATGTTATGAGCTAGTTGCCTTACGAAACGAGGGGTCGTCAATTCCGGAGGGGGGGGAGATCCGAATCTTTTGTTAGATAGGGGAATCTAGACGGCGACAGGATGGGCGGCGACGGTGGCCGCATAGTCGCCAGACAGCCAGCCAGGCCCAGTTGCCCAGTTCCCTAGAAGAGGAGCACAACCCCTGAGTGCAAGCAGCACTGGAGGAATGCAGTCACGTATGTACCCAGACCCCCGACGTCATGATTTTTTCATGACGCGACCCCCAGAGGTCCAGACCCATTCCCCGGGACCGGTTTTTCGTCCTGAGTCGTTTTTTGACGGTCCCGAGGCCCGGGAAGGGCCCCCGGAGGCCGCACATGGCGACAAACCTGCGTCGTGATTTTTTCACGACGCGAGGAGGTCTGGGTATGGGGCACGGTTCGATTGCGCGGCCAAGTTTTTGGGGAAAGGCGCCCGGCGGCATCGCCCTGCGGACTTGCTCGGTGCAGCACCCGGGCCCTGCGTACCGCCGGAGGGGTCACGACGGCCTGCGCGGGCGCCGCACAAGTCCTGGGCCCAGGCCGGGCCTGGCCAGGCTCGGTGTCCGGCGCGCGGCCCCTGACCCCCGACCCCCCGGGGCCGCATGGCTCAGGAGGGAAAAAAACACACAGACACAATGAATCGTCGATTCCCCAGAAAATATGGGAATCTATGGGAAGTGGGGGGGGAAGACAAAAAACAAAAAAGTACGGGAAAATATGGGGAATCGTTGTATTTTTGTGTGTATTTATTTGTGTGTGTGTCCTGGGGCCCCTTTCGTGGCGGAAGCGGCGAGGCAGAGATGGTCGGACGTCGGCATCGAAGGAACTTGACCGGCAGGGCGTGCAGCCCTGGACCTTCCCAGACCCCCTCGAGCTATGAAAAAATCACGACGGGAGGTTTGGTGAACGGTGCGGTGGATTGGTGAACGGTGCGCGCCCTGCTCCCGCTTGCGGAAGCTGGGGCGTGCGCCGATCGCCTCTCGCTGCTTTGCGTGGCCCCCTGCTCGCCCTTGTGCCCCTCGGGGCCTCCCCCGTCGTTGCTGCTTGCTGATGGATCGACGCTAGCTATCCACAGAGCAGGAGAATCAGCTCCCTCCTGCGCCTGCTCTCGTTGCAGTCTTCATGCGGGAGGCTTTCTCATTATTTTTCGCCTCTGGGGGCCCTTACCGGCCCTCGGGACCGTCCAAAAACGACTCGGGACGAAAAACCGGTCCCGGGGGATGGGTCCAGACCGCTGGGGGTCGACGTCGTGAAAGATTCATGACGTCGGGGGTCTGGGTTCAAGATCGCCCAGACAGCACGGCGGGTCCGAAGGCAGGGGAATTGGCTCCCCGGCCCGAGGAGCGCAGGCCCCCCACGCCGGACATCCTGACGGAGGTCCAGTTCCTGGACGCCGAGCAGCCGCATCGCTCCAGCGACCCCATAGCCCCATCCCCCTCCCAACCATCCCACCACCTTGGTTGCCCCTCGAAACTCGAAGGGAACAGCCCGTATCCCCGTCTAGGGGGGGGTAAATCGGCCAGCAGGGCCCAGGCGATCGCCCAAACGATGCTCAGAAGAAAAACAAGCTGCACGAATATACATTTTTGGAGGTCCGCGCGGATATCTCGGATCGGCGTTTGGACCTCTTGGCGGCGCCTCCAGCGCCGCCCCTGGCGCGCTCCGCGCGCCAGGGAGGGCACAGTGCCGATCCGATACATCCGCGCGTGCTTCCGAGAAATTATGTTTATTTCGAGGCGGGGATTCATCCGTGATCACCGTCTGTGGGATCGATCTTCGGGGGCCGCGGCAGGCGGCAGACATATGTCTGTGCTCGTGCCCCGGGAGGGCCCGGCGTGTCCAGAGCCGCCGCCCGCCGAGGCCCCCGAAGAGCCATCCCACGGGCGGAGGCCATGGGCGAGGCCCCGCCTCGCATCTCTGCAGCGGGAGGGGGAGGGGGAGGAGGAGGAGGAGGAGGAGGAGGAGGAGGAGGAGGAGGAGGAGGGGGAAAGGGAGGGGGAGGGAGGAGGAGGAGGAGGAAGGAGAGGAGGAGGAGGAGGAGGAGGAGGTCCCAGGACGACCAGCTGCTGTACCTGGACATGGCGGAGGACCAGCCGCCGCCCTCGTCGCCGCCGGGCGGGCGCCCGCCGCTCCTGCGGCCGAGGGTGACGCCCAGCGCGCCAGCGGCTGCCATCGTTATTTGAGAGGGTAGGGCTCCCCCGCCTCCTCCTCCTCCTGCTCCTCCTCCTCCTCCTCCTGCTCCTCCTCCTCCTCCCCTCCCTCCTCTCCCTCCTCCTCCTCCTCCTCCTCCTGCTTCTCCTCCTCCGTCCGTCTGTCCTTCCGTCCGTCCGTCCGTCGTCCGTCCTCTTCCTCCTTCTCCTCCCTCCTCCTTCTCCTCCTCCCTATTATCCTCCTCTCCTCCTCCTCCTCCTCCTTCCCTCCTCTCCTTCCTCCTTCTCATCCCTCTCCTCCTCCTCTCCTCCTCCCCGAGGTCGTGGCTGACTAATCAGGCGAGTGCTCCGCAGATCGTACAGTCTTCAGATCTGCCAGCGCGCAGCTCGCCCTTGCCACTCCTCGGGTCCGCTTCATCATTTTTGTTGGCCGCCATCGCACTTTGAGAGGGTAGAGCTCCTCGTCATTCTCTTCCTCCTCCTCCTCCCCGTCCTCATCCCTCTCCACCTCCTCCTCCTCCTCCTCCTCCTCTCCAGTTCCTCTCCTCCTCCTCATCCCTCTCCTCCCCCCTCCCCCCTCCCCCTCCTCCCCCTCCTCCTCCTCCCCTCCTCCTCCTCCGCCTCCCCCTCCTCCCCCTCCTCCTCCGCCTCCTCCTCCTCCTCCTCCCCCTCCTCCCCCTCCTCCCCCTCCCCCTCCTCCTCCCCCTCGTCGTCGGCCCCCTGGGCGCGCCCCCCCTGGGCCGCGGTGCCCGCGCGGGCGGCGGCCCCCCGAGAGAGGGGCGGCGCGCCCTCCTGGCCGCGAGCGGGGTTCGCCCGCTTGATGGCCCACCGCGGCGCGTCGTCGTCGTCGTCGTCGTCGCTTCGTCGTCGTCGCCGCCTTCGTCGTCGTCGCCTCGTGCTCGTCGTCGTCGCTTCGTCGTCGTCGTCGTCGGCGTCGTCGTCGTCGTCGTCGGCGTCGTCGTCGTCGCTTCGTCGTCGTCGTCGTCATTTCAAGCCATCGCGACTGCTTCAAGCAGACGCCCGAACTTTTCGATCCCGATCCCGATCCTCCTGCTCCTCTCCCTATCTCTGTACGCATTCTTCACTGCAGTGCGCCTGCTCTGCCACCCGGCTGGCCCATAGCCAGCCAGGGCGGGGGGTCCATCCCACCTTGAAGTCGGGCGTGTCCCCCATACAGGGGGATTTTCGACGGAAATGAAGAAATACCCCCAAAATACCCCAACATGTCAAACAATATTCAAAAAATAGTCCCCAGACTATGTGTGGAATATTTTTTGATTCTTTTGGGGGTATGTTTTCTAGTGTTCGTCGAAAATCCCCCTGTAGGGGGACAGGCCCGACTTAATCCCACCTGTTCAACCCACTGCAAGATGGGCGTGCTTGCTGTCAACATGGGTAGTCTGCCGTCCACGTTGTACATTGCGTGGCGTGAGTGGGACGGAACACGCGCACCCCGTGTGCAGGGGCGAAAAATGTCGCTCTCGCCTCTCGGCGTCGCGCTCGCTTTTCCTCAGAGAATTTGGAGCTCCAGCCGGCGCGAGAGGCGAACATTCTCTTCGCACGCCGCCTCGTCGACGCGCGATGGAAAGAAAAAGTGTCGCCTCCGCCTCCGCGCCGCGCAGATGTCGCCCGAAAGTGGTGCTCCCGCCTTGGCGCGGAGCATATTTTTCGCTCGTCGAGGACTGGCGCCGCGCGCGAGCGTGAGAACACGTCGCCCTCGCCCAAGGTTAAGTCGGGCCTGTCCCCCTACAGGGGGATTTTCGACGAACAATAACAGATACCCCAAAAATGGTTCAAAACATAATCCAGAAATAGTCTGGGACTATTTTTTGAGCATTTTTTGCCTTTTTGGGGTCTTTTTGGGGGTATGTCTTATCTTTCGTCGAAAATCCCCATGTAGGGGGACACGCCCGACATAAGCCCAAGGTTCGTGCGCATTTCGCTTGGAAGCGGCGTTCCCTTGCAGGCGTAGCACATGGCTCGCTCGTCGGAGCGCATGACAGCGGCCACGGCCGCGGGGCCGCGCGAGAGCCGGCGAGAGGCCGACTTGCCTCACGCGAGCGTCGCGCAGCTTGTGCGTCAAAGTGGCAGTGCCGTGTCGGCGCGGCGCACGGTTCGTCCTTCTTCCGCGTTCATCGGAAGCTTTGCCGCTCCCGCCCCTGCGCGGCCAGCGCGGCTTGCCGTCGCGACGTCGTCGGAAGCGGGGCCGTGCGCGAGCGCCTTCGGCCCGGTAGGCGGGAGCGCGTTCCAATCCCGCCTTCGAGTGATGCCACACTGGATTCGTGTGTCAGGGGGCGGGGGGTGGGAATGGTCGGGGCCCTCTGACTCGCTCGACCTGGCTAACTTGGCCCCTCCCCCTCCTCCTCCTCCTCCTCCTCCTCCTCCTCTCCTCCTCCTCCTCCTCCTCATCATCATCATCATCATCATCATCATCATCATCATCATCATCATCATCATCATCATCCCTCGCCCTCTCCCTCTCTCCCTCTCCGTCTCCTCCTCCTCATCCCTCTCATCCTCCTCCTCCTGGACTCCTCCTCCTCCTCTTCCTTATCCTCCTTCTCATCATCATCATCATCATCATCGTCATCATCATCCCTCTCCTCCTCCTCCTCCTCCTCCTCCTGGACCCCTCCTCCTCCTCCTCCTCCTCCTCCTCCTCCTCCTCCTCCTCTCCTCCTCATCCCTCTCCTTCTCCTCCTCCACCTCCTCCTCCTCCTCGTCCTGTTTCTTCTCCTCCTCCTCCTCCTCCTCCTCCTTCTCCTTCCCCTCCTCCCGTCGTCAACACAATGACGGCGTGATGCTTCTGGGGACCTTCGGAGAGAGAGGGGGAAGGAGGAGGAGGAGAAGGAGGAGGAGGAGGAGAAGGAGGAGGAGGAGGAGAAGGAGGAGGGCCTGCACTGCTTTTCTAGTTGAGGTGCCCTGGCTCCCTCCCCCCTCCTTCCCTCCCCCTCCTTGAGCCCTCTCCGTTATCAGTAACGCCTCCCTGTCGCACCCCGGGACGTGTTGGTAAGTCGGGCCTGGCGTTCGCTTGGGACTTTCTCACAGCTCATGATCCTCTTAAGAATTGAGAGCAGCTTCGCGGATGGAGGGCGGGTAGTAATCGAATTGCAGATCTCGCCCTAACGCCGCGCGCATTCGTCTCAAAAGTTTGCAAAGAGCTTCACGGATGGAAGGCGGGCCGTTATCAAAACGTGGTTGTCGCCGTAGCGCCGCGCACTTTCGTTCTAAAAGTTGTTCAAGGGCTTCACGGATGGCGGGCGGGCCGTTTTCAAAATGTGGCTCTCGCGTCAGTGCCGCGCAAATTTGTGTCAAAAGTTTGTAAGAGCTTCACGGATGGAGGGCTGCTGGTTGTGAACATGTGGCTTTTGCGTTAGCGCCGCGCGAATCCGTCTTCAAAGTTTTCAAGAGTTTGACTAATGGAGGGTGGCTGGTTTCCAAAATGTAGCTCTCGCCCCAGCGCCGCGCACAGTCGTTCAGCAAGTCAGCAAGAGCTTCACGGATGGAGGGCGGATTCTTTTCAAAATGTGGCTCTCGTGTTAGCGCCGCGCACATTCGTGTTAAAAGTTCGCAAGAGCTTCACGGATGGAGGGCGGTTCCTTTCCAAAATACACTTCTCGCCTCAGTGCCACGCGCACTCGAAAAGCTTGTAAGGGCGTCACGGATGGAGGGCGGTCCTTCTCAAAATGTGGATCTCGCCTCAGCGCCGCGCACATTCGTCTCAAACGTTTGCAGGTGTGTCACGGATGGAGGGCAGGCCGTTTTCAAAATGCGGTTCTCGTCTTAGCGCCACGCGCGTTCAGTTCAAACTCGTGCAAGAGCTTCACAGATGGAGGGCGTGCCGTTTACAAAATGTGGTTCTCGCCGCCGCGCCGCGCACATTCGTTTCAAACGTTTGCAATAGCCTCAAGGATGGAGGGTGGTTCCTCTTCAGGATGTGGCCCTCGCCTCAGCGCCACGTGCGTCGCACCATGCTGCAAGAGCTTCACGGACGCAGGGCGCTGTTCTCCCCCGGTGCTCGCGGGCGATGTTTCTCCCTCAATCCCCGAGTTTCGCCCGAAAAGTCTGGCCGCTCAGAAGAATGGGAAAACCTTGGGATACACCCCAAGGGGGCTATTCGGACGCACCCCTATCGAGAATGGACACCCCCCCATCGTATATCCTAGGGTTAGGCCCCAAATTTCTGGTCCATTCGGAAACCCCACGAAGCCTGGGATAGGGGTCGACATATCCCCTGTTAGGTGCGGTAGTCGCTCTCAGCGCCGCGCGGATTCGCTGCAAAAGTCAGCAAGGGCTGCACGGACGGGGGGGGGGCCGGCGGCTTTCAAGACGTGGCTCTCGCGTCCGCGCCTCCGCGCGCACTCGCTCGCCCCAGGAGTCTGCAAGAGAGAGGGCTTCACGGGTGGAGCGTGGAGGGCAGCTGGTCTGCGGCGTGTGGCTCTCGCGTTATCGCGCCGCGCGGAGTCCTGTGGAGAGCCTGCGAGAGTTTTGCAAACGGAGGGCCTGCGAGAGTTTTGCAGAGTTTGCGAGAGTTTCACAAAGTTTACGGAGTTTTGCAGAGTTCAGCGCCGCGCGAATTCCTTCTGAAAGTTTCCACTTGAAAGTCTGCGGGAGTTTTTTGCAAAGGGAGGGCGGGCCGTTTTCGAGTCATGGCTCTCGCCCCAGCGCCGCGCACACTCGTTTTGAAAAGTTTGCGAAGAGCTTCACGGGTGGGGGGGCTGGCCGTTTCCAAGATGTGGTTCTCGCCTCAGGCCCCGCACAGTCGTCTCAGAAGTTGTTATCCGTCCCACGGTTTCTCATGGTTGGCGTCTCAGAAATAGTGTTCTGGCATCATGCAGGATCGTCAGGGCGCAACAGCACAGTTGATTCGCGACGTTGAAGTCCACTGGGTCGTGTTTTGGCTTGGTTGTGGATTCTCAAGCGGTTGTCCTTCGACGGGGCACTTCCAGCAGTTCCGACAGGGACCTGGGCGAGACCTCCGTTTCAGAGGGAGCCTGGAGGAAGGGCTTTTACTGCGAAGTCGTCGATGCGTCCTGGGTTTGCACGACTCCTCCCCCTCCTCCCCCCCTTCCCCCCCTCTCTCCCCTTGGCGTCCTCGTCGTCGCCCTC